GCCATGTCTCTCTGAGAGGATGGAGGGGTCTCCGGGGTTTGCAGCAGTGATAGAGACACTTCCCTGCTCCAGCCCCTGTGACTTCTTTAATTAACCTCTTTGGGAGGACCAGCCTAGGTAATCACAGCCTAGAAAGTCCAACAATTAGGACCCTTCTGACCTTTGAGTGTCCAGTAGTGTGTCCAGTTTCTTTGTCTGCCTGTTCCCTACCTCTACCCCCTCCCACCCTCAATCAATGCTGTAATGGCACTGCCACACAGGGAAGAAGACAACAGCAGACACAGGCTGCAGAATTCTTGGAACTGTAGCTCTGTAGTTTTCATTTTCCGTAACCCCTGTTTCCTTGTTCACACAGAGTTATCTGTTCTCTCTCTCTCTCCTAAACTCTCCAGTTCTTGTGGCTATAATTTGTTTTCTTTCAGCGATTCAGTTTAATGGCAAATTAGAAATGGCACCCGTTGCCACGTCCTTCTGTGCTTTTTTTTCCTCCTTCTTTTTCCCCCCCTCTCTTCGCTCTTGTACCGTGGACCTTGTGGCCTCATTACATACAAACAGTCAAGAAGCATGGACAGAAATAAAAATTTATCTTATTTTTCACATTAGACTTCTAAGGGACAAATAGGCCTCTACGCTTCTCCGGGGGGAGGGCTTTGAGTGACGCCCTAGAACAAGCAGATCAAACGCCTCTTCGGCCAGCTCCTCAGCTTTCTTCCTCTATCTCGCTCTATTTTGGTTGCTTTCTTTCATTCATGTTGGGGAACAGTGGCTTAAGTGGCTCTATTGGAGCTCTCTCATGGGCTCTCAAATGAAGCCTGCGTGAGCTTCGGGGAAATAAATTGGTTTGTTCTGAGGCGTTGTCTCTTGTGGCGCCCCCTGCTGTTCAAGCTCTGATCTGTGCTTGTCCGATGGAGGAATTGAAAGGGTTGGGTGGAGTGGCGGGGATGAGCAAAACAAAATACACAAGCCAGCAGTGGGAGAGGTCAAAGAAAAAAAAAGCTGGGGTGGGAATGAGATGAGTCATGTGTTGGAACATTTACATTTCATTTTAGTCGAGAGTTTTATACAAGCAAGATGAGCGCTTTGCATTTGATTTATTCACAGTGGAAGTAGAGGAGGCGACAAGGACCCTGTAGATGCATGAATCCACAACTCCCCCATGTGGGCATCCTGTACAAAACTGCTTCTTTTTCTCTTTTTCTTTTTTTGGGAAAAAAAGTATATAAATCTTTTTACTGATTTGTATCAGCGGCATCTTGTCAGTGCCTAATATTAAATTTATGCCCCGCAGACAAATTTAGTGTCATGCAGACGTAATTTCCTTTCTGTTTTTTCTATTTATAAACTGTTTCCACCAGACTTGGCAGTTTCACATGCCAACTGAAGTTTTTTTTCCCCCCTTGTTTTCTGCATATGTTATGTGAGGCGTTGCTCACTCGCATATTCTGTGAAGCCGCGCGGTACCCGTATCCCCGTCTGCATGTCTGCGTGTGAGTGAGTCACAAACATGTAAGATTAGGATTTCTTTGGCACAGCATTTTTGTTTGTGTCTGTGTTTTGTAAGTACTGATTATTTTCTAAGAAGATGAAAATGTGCAATGTGAAATAAATGTGCTTGTTTATCACCACATGCCACTGAACGCAACGGACTGTCAGGCTGCTGGTATACTTTATACATTAAAAAGCATTTGTTGGTGCTCGTTTAGCTCCACAAACACAATCCCGTGGCTGGAACACAGTGGCCTGGGTCCAAACCCAACCTGTGGCTCACTACTGCATTTCCTATCCTTCTATACCTTCTATCCAAAAAAAGAAAAAGTATTTGCCTTAAAGGTGTCTTTGGCATTTTAACATCTGAGCACTAGTTTCGATTCTTTAAAGTTGAGTGCAGGGGGTTGTTTAGAGGTGTGATGCTGATGGTTTTATTGTTTTTTACTGCCTTGTTAATATTATATGTGGACAGTTTGTTGTCATATTGATTTTATTTTTAAATCAGCCGTAAAACTTCTAGGTATTAGGAATAGGAACCAAGATATTTCTTGGTTGTGTTTTTTGTTTTGTTTTTTGTTAGTAGAGGTTTTTTGGCAGAACTTCATCTCCTTTCAAGGTGCATGAAAAAAAACTCTGAAGAGGTTAAGCTGTAGCAGCACTTGCAGTATAGAGAAAAACTTTAATGCTTGACAGGATTCAGAGTCATCATATGGTCTGCGATGATAAGCCGAAATGCGTCAGTCGAGGAGGAAAGTTGTTCTTTATGCTGCAAGTGTTGCTGAAGATTTAACCTCGTCTGACCTTTTTTAACCACATGCATGTAGAAAAGCACTATGGCAACCAAATGTTCAGTTTGCACCATTGGCAGGTGATAATGTAGAGAACCTAAACAGAGCAGTTTAAGGTAAACAGTAAATATGCTGGTACTTATAGATCACTTTTCTACTGTAGCCGAGAACTTAAAGAGCCTTCTTCAGACAATCACGCAGCACTTTCATGATATGTCTTTAACAGTTTTGTTTATGAAAAGCACTCACAGTGATATTTGTTCGAGCAGCATTTCAGTGTTGCCACAAATCAAGGTACTCTATAGTCAACAACTTTACATGACATATTATTGCACAGTTTATGATGCAAAATATGTTGCAAAATGTATCATATTTTACAAGATAATACAAGGCAAGGGCTTAATCAGAAAACAAACTGAATGACAGAGTTGTCATGTAAAGATCCTTACTTTTTTTTTTATCTTTTCTCAACACTATGCCAGGATAGTTGATGCTCAGTAAGGATGTTTATACAATGCTACGAAAATCTGCTTGTTTGTTTTTTGCATATTTGTCACACTAATTAACAAACTACTTTAATATTACACAGAGATAAAGTGAGTCAATACAAAATGCAGTTTTTAAATGATCATTTCATTTATTAAGAAGAAAAAGCTATGCAAACCTTACTCGGCTCTGTGTCGAAAAAGTAATTGTCTCCTAAACCTAATGACTGGTTGTGCCACCCTTAGCAGCAAGAACTGCAATCAAGTATTTGCGATATCTGGCAATGAGGCTTTCGCTGTGGAGGAACTCTGGCCAATTCCTACTTGCAGAATGGTTTTTATCCAGCTACAATGGAGGCTTTTTGAGCATGAACGATCTGTTTAAGGTCCCGCTAAAGAATCTCAATTGGATTTCAGTCTGACAAGGTCACTCCAAAACCATCATTTTAGCCATTATTTTTTCATTAATTACAGCAGGTAGCCTAGCTAACAAAGCAGAAATCTTTAGTCCACAGGATATTTTCCCAAAAGTCCTGGGGATTATCAAGATTTTTTTGGCAAACGTGAGATGAGCCTTTGTCAGCAGAGGTTTTCATCTTGGAACTCTGGAGTAATTTTAATATGCCAGCCACTCCTGGGAAGTTTCACCACTGTTCTAAGATTTGTGAATAATGACTTTCACCACGGTTCACTGGAGTCCCAACGCCATAGAAATAGCTTTATAACCCTGTCCAGACCAATAGAGGTCAATGATTTGAGTTTCTTGAGATTGTGGCAGGCTGCGGGTTTGGGGCTGCAGCCCCTGTGTCTTCTACACCATGGCTGCTGGGTGCAGAAGGTACCCCTCAGCTCTTGGTGGGTGGCACAATTGTCCCTGCAATGATCCTCCTTGGGCTCTCGTGCCTCTGGATGTCTGGGAGCCAGATCTAGCTCCCTACACTCACTATTATACATTTACATGAAAAAATCCTATGAATACAAGCACACACAGGTGTGCAAACAGATGTACAAACAGGTATGCACAGGCGCTCTTTAGAGGCTGCTGCCTCTAAACATATCATGTAATCCTGGTACTGTGTGCTGCTCAGTAACATTCAATATATTTATTACTTACTGTTCCTTTTGCATATGTTGTTTGTTGCTGTGGTTTCCCTGCTGTGTTGTTTTTGTTTTGTTTTTGTTTGCTGTTTTCTTTTCAGCAGTTGGTGATTCAGATTTTCAGTCTTTCCTCTCTCTATCCCTCTTCTCTATTTTTCTCTCCCTCTCCTTCTGTTAACTTTCTTTCTAAATGTTTCTTTCCCTTTTCTTACTCTTTCCAGTCCCCAGTTCTGTCTGTTATGATTATAATAACTAAAAATAAAATAAAACCTCTAATAAAAATCTAATAAACTATGACTATCAAGTGGAGGGGTATAGCAAAAGGCGTAAAGCTCCACTTGGGAAAGTAAATGTGCGGGGCATTTTTCTTGGCCTTTAGACAATAAAGGGGGTATTTTTTCCACACAAAGGTAAGGTAGGTTTTTTCCCTAATACATGAAATAATAATTTTTAAAACTGCACTTATAAACTCATTATATCTTAACATTCAGATTTGTTTGATGAGCTGAAAGGTACAAGTGGGACTAAAGAACAACAACTATGAAACCAGGAAGTAATAGAACAGGTTTTTCACAGCTCTGCAGACTTTGTGGGTGATTGTTTTTTGGAGTTTTTTTTGTTTTTGTTTTGTTTTGTTTTTGAATACTTGTGCATAGTTGACTTTGTTACACATCTTGAATATGTACTTTTATTTTAACAAGTCATCTTTTGTCCTGCGAGATCAGTGATTTTGTGCATGGTGCCTGACAAATAAATAGTACACTAAGTCAAAATGTCCCAAAATGGATAGGGTAATATAAAAACAAGCCTATAAGCTTGATGTATATAAAACGTCATATATTTTCGGGGGTTGTGGATAAGAGGGCATTATAGGAGATTAAATAAGAAAAAAGGTCTTCTGACAAAAGGACTTTATTTTTCTATTTCAGCTTGAAATAAATTAAAGTAAAGATTTATGGATTTATCATAGTGTTTTAAGTAAAATCCATGGGAGACGTGTTTATCTAGCAAGATAAAGCCGATTATGCTCCAGGCCCGGAGGCAGCGCACTGGACGTGAACTAGCAATTTTATTGGTCGCCGGCGTGGCAGGAAGTCATAGGCAACCAATGAAAAGGGGCAGAGATTCGTCACTGTATTTCTCCATTCAACCTACCTGTCAACTTTACTGTATACGCTTCTTATTTAACGTTAGCAACTATTTAGCGTGTTTTCACTCACTAAACTCGTATTAAACAGGACTGACAAAGTTCTAAAAAATAATGTCGTAACACTAGTTACAACGAGTGAAAGTGTTAGCGGTTTAAATGGGCGAAGTTCAGCACAGTTAGTCCCCCCCGCACTGTCTAAACTGGCCGGTCTCCGGAGGAGTATATTAGTCAGAGCCCGCAGGATGGAGTGGCTCTTCCAGCGATGCTATAAAGAGGTCGTCTTGAGCTTTCGCTCGGTACTGCTCGTGTCGTGTTTGGTGAGATACTGTTTTTGTGGAATTACATGAACGTTTCTGTTTTCGAAAAGTCTCGTAAAAGTTGTGACTTGCCCTGGTGACAGCTGGTGCTTTAATGTTGGCCGCTAATTTAAAATTATAAAAATAAAAAAAACTGCCTGCTTTACAATGACTTGTTTGGGGGGAGGTGGAGGATTTTACGTGCATCTGTGCCGGGCTGTGAAGCAGCGCTATACGGAGAAGTAGGGCAGCTTATAAATTGGTCACTGTATCCAAGCCAAGTCCAATACTAATTTATCTGTGACAGACAGTGCCAAATAATAAGAGGATAAATACTGAATCCAATCCAAACATGGCAATCCCTACAGAGGCCAGTGGATAATTAAATTGAGTTATAAGTTTCCTTCATCCCAGCATAAAAAAAGAGGGGAAAAAGACGTTTGACATCTAAATGTGATAATAATTATAGACAGGCTTTATAAACATTACCCAGCTCTTGCAGTGTCTTGAGATGTCAGCATTTGACAGCCCTGTCCTATTGCACTCACAAATCCCCTTCTAGTTCTTGATCCTGCTGGCGTGCCTGTTCCCCGGGCTGTGGTCCATTGGGGTCCAGCTTCATTCTGTATGCACAGGGAGCTATGTACCAGGGCACTACTCTGTCCTTGTCATCAACACTCCCAATGAGCAAACAGCAAAGGACGTTGGCAGGTATGGTGCTTTTTTTTTTTTTTTGTCTTTTTAAACACTTGCATTGCATTTTGCAGTCTCCTAAGGTGTCATACACCGTTGTTGTTTTTTTCAGTGTTTCCACAAAGTGAAAGAATATTTATGCCTTTTCTTGTTCAGCTGAAAACATTATTATCACCCTTGTTTGGCATGCGCAGTAATTATAAAAGTGCCAGCAGCCAGTTAGCTAAGAAATTGGAAACACCTCTAACACTTATTAATTAGCACTTTTGCTCACATTTTCTTGTTTAATTATTAGTTTTGTTTAGTTTTTATAAAACTGTGCAACAACAGAAGTTTCATTTGCTGCCAGGCAACAAGAAGTTCCAAATAGCTTCACATTTATTAAACAGAGCCTTTCCAATCTTCCCATCTGATTTAAGAAAAATACTTTTCTAATTGTAAAAAGAATAAAATAACTGAGTATTGATGCTCATCTCCTTTTTGGCGTGTGACTTGTGGTTTGTGAAAGATTTGAAGTGACTGAAGTGATTTCCCCTGACATAAGTTTGACTTTTCTGCTCGGAGAAGAGATACAATTCTGTCAAACCAACAAGTGGAGCAGAGCACTGTGTTTCCACTCTCATCTCCCTTTGTTGGCATTTTAGCTGCATGCAGATGAGATTCCATCTATTAACCACGTGTCAAGGAAAATAGCCACAGTGCGCTTTCCATATATGTAAATCACCTCCTTCACAGCTCCTCGCTCAGGGAAGGGGGGCAATGCAAAGGTGGTAATAAAATTTAGTTTACCGTCTTTTTTTCTTTTCTTGAATTCCCATCAGATGTCCTTCCCCTTCAGCTTGCTTCGTGAGTCTTGACAATGAAGGGCCCAGTTTTAATAGACAAACAGCTGTTGGCTTGTGTTTGATTTTTTTTTCTCTTTTCCCTCTTAGCCCCCTTCATTTCATTTCCACCAATACATCCAACCGTTCTCGCCATTCTCTCTTTTGTTTTTTTCTTTCAGGGCAATCATGGAAAGGCGGTTGGCGGCCAGCGTTAACATTCTCTCCAAGACCTCCACAATGTAAATTACACCTGACCTCCATTTTTGAAACGCCTCTCTACCCAGGCGGCACACAATCACAAAAGCTCCCGTTAGTTACCGTGTCCATCACATGTATGCGCTCATAAATACAATGAATGCACATGCTTCTTTGTTCACAAAGGGGAAGCTGTTTTCTTCACAAACCACAAAGCAAATGGGCTTCACCTGAATTTATTTGTTTAGCCTTATTGGAAGGCTACTGGAAACTTGAATGGCAGTTAGCCTTCAAAGTAGGCGTGTTTTTGCATGCATGGATTAGCTTTCCTGTCAATGCATAACAGCACAAAGGCGGGGGGTGGGGGGCGATTAGGTTGGGGGCAGGGGGAGGAAGCTGAACTTTGGACAAATAAGAGTAACTGAATAGAAATGTCAGTGTTAACACCTGTTTACAAAATAGAGGTGAAAATACAGGTTTGGCTTGGACTTGGCGTGGTGTGTTATTGCAGGTATGCCGTGAGCTTTCGGTTATCTTCGTATCTTAAATGTCAGCATAAAACTTGTTGACATTCCCGTGCTTTAAAACCACTTTTTAAACAAAGAGGGGGTTTTGCACCTGACACCACAGGAGCATATCAAGAACAGTCCGACAGCCACTGTAGGGTGTAATAAACTATTATTAGTTCTTTGCATGAAAGCTCTTATTTTGTTAAATTTGAAGGCTCCATTTGTCTGCTTGTACTTTCCGGTCAGTAGCCCTGCGGTGCTTCAGTTCCAATACTTTCTGTCATTTTAGGTTCTATTGGAAAGGAGAAATCCAGGATGCAAATGAAATCCTGATGGTAAGCTCTCGGAGACAATTCCTTCTGTGATCAGCATGCACTCGGGCATGTCGAAATACAAGACTGGTGAGATGAGATGTGTTTGTTGTTGCAGCTGGTGAAAACAAAGACTTCCAGGATCCAGAAGGTGGTGGACTACGTGAGGTAAGAGGCTTGTCACGTTGTCAAACTCACACTGGACACTGTGCCTTGTGCTCTGTGAAGAAGAGTTATTAAAGGGAGAAAAAAGCCAGGTTCGTGGCTTCAGTCTGAACATTATTTTCAGTTCAAACGTTCACATTCAAACACTGATACTTTCATGTTTGGACAAAAAACTAGAAGTAATAGATAATGAGGTTTTTCTTGTCAGCTTCTGCAATTCTGCATCAATATTTCACACTATTTATAATTAGAGATTGGCTCATTCTACATGACAATTCACGTTTTCGGGCTATTCAGTATTAGAGCGTTAAAAACACTGCATAATTGCAATATATGCACACATCTTCAGTGTACTGTCAGCATTTTGAGGCTTTTAAAGCACTGCAGTGCTTTTAGTCCTAGGTGATGGGAAGAAATTGAATCAAGAACCACTTTATACAGATTTGAGTTTATACGAACATGTTCTTTGTGTGCCTTTAGGTCTATACATCCCTACGGGAACCCAGAAGTCCTCAGTCTTGCAGTAGATGACGGCAGCTTGGCGTACATGAAATGGATGGACGAAGCCATTCCAGATGACTGATATTTCGTTAAGGCCAAAACTAATCTCAGCGAGGACTGCCGTCAAACAAGGAAACTGAGCCATGTGTGTTTGTTGCTCTTAACTTTTTTTT